TTTTTTGCCTCCTCTCTAGCTCTCTTAACGAGGCGCACACATTTTCTCTCTGCTCCCTGTTCTCCTCCTGCTTTTTTGCTCTCTGTCTGTGTATCGGAGCAGCTCCTATTTTTACACATCTTCCGAAATGAAAACTACTGTTTTTGATCTGACCGACTGGACTTTCGATGTAAATTACAAAATCCTTTCAACAAAGCGACAGGGTCCTGGAGAACCCTCATCTGCTCGAACGACACGCACGCAGCTGGAAAAATCTCTAGAGGTGATGTGTCTAACTCTGCTGTCGATCGAGGACGCCGAAATCGCATATAATTGGAGTTATGATAGCAGGTTTCTTGTTTTCGGAATAGTCTGGATCCTGGTTTATCAAAGTACAAAGAAGACGGTTGCAGTTAATTTGGACCTCTTCAGGCTGCTGTCTATGTGAAGGTTGGTTTGTGCTTTGAGGACTCAAAATCTTGATTTACGAGCGAAGCCGTAAGTTGGGTGATTTGAATCACAGGCCACCTGCAGCTTTGGGACTCGTCAGCATGAACACGACCTTGAAGAGGCTCATAAGCACGGACCTGTAGTATGTACCCTAATCTGGCCATGTCGGACCTTGGAAGGATCAGTACAGACTCGAGGCTGACGGAAAAATAGTCTGCCTGAATAAATCAACAATTGTGGTTATCTGAATGGGACTCCCCGGCTGGCCTTGAACTTATCCAGTTCTCCTGGGGAATGTGTAAACTAAGGAAAAGCTTCGTCCATCGCAACCCCCCACCCCCTTCTGTGAAGGCTTATCAGAACTGTGCCGGCTGACCATCTTTTCAGGACAATGGACTGTCTGTTAGTGCTTCATGGACCGCGTCGTCATAAATGCATATGTAACGTGTTCATAAATGTGCTTGCTGGCTGAGGTTTTTTTCTTTTTTTGACGTCTTAAATGATGTCACGTTAAGACAAAGTGTGAAGAGATGGTTTTTTTGTAATGCCCTATCCTCTCCTCGTGGCTTTGTCCCTTTTTCTATCTAAAAAAATGTATTCTGAAAAGAATAAGAAGGCCGCGCTTTATAGCAGCAGCTTCGTGCACTCTGCCTGTCTTTTGGACGACTGTACGTACATATTCTCGTATCTCAGTGCAGTGATAAAAAAAGCTTATTCTGATTTCTCCTGTCTTTTTTTTTTTTTTTTTTTTTTGCCACCGTCTCCAGACCATACAACAGAGCTGGTCTCACCACTGTCTTGTAAACTTTTCCTTTGACCTTTGCTGACACCTTTTGTGGCAAATCACTCCTGAAACTTTTCTCCATCCACTCCATCCTGCCTGGACTCTCTTTTTCACTTCTTTACCTCACACCATTTTTCCTGGATAGTGGCCCTCAAGTACTTGAAGTCCTGCACCTTTGTGACCTCTGCTCCTTGTAGCCTCACTGTTCCACCTCCTCCCTCTCGTTCACACCCATGTACTCTGTCTTACTACGGCTGACTTTCACTCCTCTGTTTTCAAGTGCATACCTCCACGTTCTTTCATTTGTCAGTCATCCCCAGTTTCAGTAGAAGGTTAAGACATGGATAATGATCAGCTTTTTTGCCACAGAAAACACCGTCTTACATGTGAAACATTGTAAATTATTGGTATTATTTGTATCAGAACAGAATGTAAAGTTTCCTTTAACCAGGTGATGATGATAAGTTCATGGCAGAGATTTAAGAAAATTAAATGATTTTAAATGGTTCTTTTTCTCTGTATGTTTTATTCTAGACTTATCTCTGGGTAGGTTTATAACCACTGAGCTCACCAGAGGCTACTTTCTTGAACACAACGAGGCCAAATACACAGAGCGCAGAGAGAAGGTGTACACCTGCCTCCGCATCCCCAAGGAGCTGGAAAAGGTGAAAATACACTGAACTGGGTGTCAAACCATTTAATTATATATTTATTTAACAATAATGTAAGCTTACTTTTACACTCCTGTTTTTATTCCCTCACTCTCAACACAGTTGATGACTTTCGGCTTCTTCCTGTGTCTGGATACGTTCCTCTATGTGTTCACGCTTTTACCCCTGAGAGTAATGCTGGCTCTTTTACGGCTCGTCACTGTGCCATGCTGCGGCCTCAGGTACTGTTTAGGCTTTAGGCATGCTTGCTCACTTAAATTTGCTTAGTCCTTTACTTATAATGGTTGACTTTTATATTGGAAAACAATTCTAATAGTTTGTATACTAGTACTTTCTCATCTGGTAGTTATTTTAGCAAATACACATATTTAACAGGTTTATTAAAAAACTTTTTATTGCCCTCGTCGTTAGCATAAGTGTGCATCTGCATTCACATTATTTGCACGTGTTATTTATTTAATGAGAATAGGGTAGATTGTTGAATCATAAAAATTAGTAATATGGTGTTTTTATTTTTTTCTTGTTACTCTGTAAAATGTTAACAATGTTCATTTTGTTTGTGAAAACAGTCAGAAAGATGCAGATTCTTTTCTGTTGAATAACTCAATGGTTTTCCTCTAAAGGAAAATGTGGTTTTACTTCACTCTCTGGGCTCCTTTTAAATTGTTTTTTATGCTTTAAAATTAGTTTTTTTTTTACTACTTTGTAAAAGCTTTATGTAACATTTACAATCATTTATAAAACGGGTATGAAACGCCTTAAACACCAAAGCAGTCTCACAATAACAAGTGCTGTATTTTTATTAATTCTTTTGTAATTTAGATTTAAATATTAATATTGTCAGTACATTACCTGCATGTACACAATATGAGCATATTTACCGTAATTTCCACCGCACATATCACACAGCCGTATTACTCGCATCAGTCCAGATATGTCTAATAAAGTGGGAAAAAACATAAACGCATCGCTTTGCCGTATAAGTCACATCTATTATGCATCACCTCTGACGCGTCGCATACGTGTCACCGCTGACAACCTGGAAATGTGGGCCGGTGTGCCAAAAATCGATTGGCTGCCAAATGGCATCCGTGGGAGCGTGCACGGGAGGACTTTAACAAGAATTTAACAAGATTAACACTTATAAACAAGTATTTATTGCTCGAAATTATAGTAAAGGTGTGTCTCAGTTTAACTTTTCCTTAATAAATGCACTTTAACTGTCAAATCAGCTGCATTTCAAAAGCCGATTCGCGAAAGCGGCAATGTACAGAGGGTGGACTCACTGTACATTTTGTAGAAATTTAACAAGATAACCACCAACATAAAATAATTTTTTGCTCGACATTATAGTAAAGGTGTGTCTCAGTTGAACCTTTCCTTAATAAATGCAATTTAACGGAATTTGCACAGAATTAAATGAGTTAAATTAAATTTAACGTCAAATCAGCTGCATTTTGCCCGATTTGCCTTTTGCTCCAGGAGTTCTGGAGCAAGACGAGGGTGGCTTGGTATGGCAAGACAAGTGTCTCATTAATAGGCACTTTTATCTGTTAATGAGACACTTGGCTTGCCATATTACTCGAGCGCCCTCTAGTGGCTGAAAATGTTAGTGTTCAATATTTTCCATGCCAGAATGAATGAAATCGTCAGATCTCAGCCAAAAATTGGGTTATAAATATGGGGGGGGGTTGCTTTGCTGTATAAGTCGCAGGGTATGCTAATTTATGTAAAAGTTGTGACTTATACAGCGAAAAGTACAGTAGTTACAAAAACAAGCTGAGTAGTTAGCAATAAATTACATCCACCCGAATGAATAAAAGTGCAATGTCTGAACACTGTTTATACATGATTGTTAATGCTTTTTAAAGTGCTGACAAACTCAAATAACCTATTTATAAAGCATTAATATTTATATAAAGCAGCCCATATTGTTAAGTGACACCAAAAGTGTTCACACTCTTAAAAAAAAACACCCTAATTTTAAACCGATTTATTGAACAATCAGTAGAAAATATTCATCTTCATCTGTCTGATCATTTTGGCCACTTCATGGTTTTTATGGGGTTTTTTGCACATCATTGTTGGTTGACTAAAATGTGCACAGTTTTGTTGAATGTTTTTTCTTGGTATTATTTATACTTGAAAACAGAACGATAATGTTTTTAACCTCCAGGGGGAGGCAGAGCTCTGGATATGTCTAATTTAAACAATGTTCAGTGTGTTTGTGGCTCTGCTCTTGCTTTTCTCCTGGCTATTTCCTTCTGGTCACATTTTGTTTATCTGTAATTTATGGTCGGTGTTTAGAGGCTCCCGATTACTCCAGCCTGCCCAAGTATGTGATGTGCTGAAAGGCTTCATTATGGTGCTGTGTTACTCAATGATGAGCTACGTAGATTACTCCATGATGTACCACCTCATCCGGGGGCAGTCCGTCATCAAACTCTACATCATCTACAACATGTTGGAGGTATGTCCACACAGTGTTTCATACTCTACTGTCCGCTGCAGATTCAGTCATTGTCTCCATTCCTTGTCATTCTCTGCGGCGCTGTGATGTCAGGTGGCAGATCGTCTGTTCTCGTCATTTGGCCAAGACATTTTGGATGCTCTGTACTGGACTGCAACAGAACCCAAAGAGAAGAAGAGAGCACACATTGGAGTGATTCCTCATTTCCTCATGGCTGTGCTGTATGTCTGTATCCTCCAAGACTCTGTAGATCCCTGACTGGCAGGGGTTTGTGAGCTGATCGTAGAAAAAATATATATATACACTACCTTGCCAAAAGTATTCGCTCACCTGCCTTGACTCCCATATGAGCTTAAGTGACATCCCATTCCTAATCCATAGGGTTCAATATGACGTTGGTCCACCCTTTACAGCTAGAACAGCGTAGACTCTTCTGGGAAGGTTGTCCACAAGGTTTAGGAGTGTGTTTATGGGGATTTTTGACCATTCTTCCAGAAGCGCATTTGTGAGGTCACATACTGATGTTGGACGAGAAGGCCTGGCTCTCAGTCTCCGCTCTTATTCACCCCAAATGTGTTGAGTTCAGGACTCTGCAGGCCGGTCAAGTTCATCCACACCAGACTCTGCCATCCATGTCTTTATGGACCGTGCTTTGTGCACTGGTGCACAGTCATGTTGGAAGAGGAAGGGGCCAGCTCCAAACTGTATGGCTTGGATGTAGCTGCTCGACCATGGAAACTCATTCCATGAAGCTCTCTGCGCATTGTTCTTGAGCTAATCTGAAGGCCACATGAAGTTTGGAGGTCTGTAGTGACTGACTCTGCAGAAAGTTGGCGACCTCTTCGCACTATGAGCTGCAGCATCCGCTGACCCCGTTCCGTCAGTTTACTTGGTCTACCACTTCGTGGCTGAGTTGCTGTCATTCCCAAATACTTCCATTTTCTTATAATACAGCTGACAGTTGACTGTGGAATATTTAGGAGGGAGGGGATCTCACGACTGGATTTGTTGCATAGGTGGCATCCAGTCAGTTCCACGCTGGAATTCACTGAGCTCCCGAGAGCGACCCATTCTTTCACAAATGTTCGTAACAACAGTCTGCATGCCTAGGTGCTTCATTTTATACACCTGTGGCCATGGAAGTGATTGGAACACCTGATTCCGATAGTTAGGATGGGTGAGCAGATGCTTTTGGCAATGTAGTGTTTATTCAAACTAAATGTATCTATTTGTTGATAATCTATCATTTTTATTATTAGTTTTTTTTATATGCTTTATTTAAATGTCGGCCAGTAGGAGCTTAAATGTATGTTTTACCTGCTTTACAAACACTAAATAAGAGAAACGTTTTAAAATTAACTTATTACACATGATAATTAGTTCTAACCCTGTCGTTTAAAGTGATAGAAAATAATTAAAATGTCTATCCATTCATCCCCCCTCTCTCTCTCAATCTCTCTCTCTAATTGTCCATCCATATTTCTCTTGCTCTCTCTTGCTCTCTCTAATTGTCCATCCATCTCTCTCTTGCTCTCTCTCTCTCTCTCTCTCTCTCTAATTGTCCATCCATCTCTCTCTCGCTCTCTCTCTCACACACACACACACACACACAATCTCTCTCTCTGATAAACTGAGAGCTTCGACTTACAGCTCAGCTCCCTCTTCACCACAGCAAACCGGCACAGAGTCCGCAATACTGCAGAAGCTGCACCCATTTGTCTGTTGATCTCATGCTACATTTTTCCCCTTACCCCTGAACAAAACTCTACTACTTGCGGCAGCACCTCACCCTCAACCTGGAGAGGGCAATCCAGTTAAATAGTGTAAGTTCAAAAACCAATACACAACTAAATGTTTTTCCTTTCAGTACTTGAAGTATATTTTTCCTGAGCTTATATTTGTCCAGTTCTTCATGCCATCCTCATCATGGTTCAGGCCACGACACTAAATGTTGCCTTCAACTCCCATAACAAGTCGTTGCTCACCATAATGATGTCAAACAACGTGAGTATGATTTACAGGTTAATTCATTTTGTTCAACATACTTGCAGCATGAGGCGAGTCAGATTTGTTTTGTTTCGTTTTTTCAGTTTGTGGAAATCAAAGGAAGTGTGTTCAAGAAGTTTGAAAAGAACAACCTTTTCCAGATGTCTAATAGTGGTAAGTGTGAACCGGTCTGAAAAAGCACACATATTTTTTTTGCATTAAAACAGTTGTACATTTTAGGGTATTTTTATCCTCAGCTTTTAAACTCAATTCAATCTAAGGTAAATTTCTGGAATCAAGCTCCGCTGCAGTGAGCATAAAGTAGGTTAATCCAGGATTGATTTGTTTGTTTCTCTCAGACATAAAAGAGAGGTTCACCAACTGCATCCTCCTGCTCATCGTCTGTCTCAGAAACATGGAGCAGTTTTCATGGAACCCTGGTAACCACTGTGAAGAGCACAGACTGTTATCTATTTGTACAGACAAAAACATGTTTTCATTATATTACTTCTCATAGGCCCATTTAAAAATGTTTCCATAGTACTTAAAGCAGGAACATTCCCTTGGTCACAATTGTCTTTAAACATTTATTGGTTTAAAGATAACTTTATTCCTGTCATGTGTTTGTTTCTAGACCACTTATTGGTACTCTTCCCAGTTGTTGTCATGGTGATGTTGTCAGAGTTTGCAGTGGATGTTGTGAAGCACGCTTTCATCACCAAATTCAATGACATCAGTGCAGACGTGAGTCCATTTTTACTTTATTTGGTTGTTGGACCTAAAATGTTGCATATTTAATTAGATACTGTGGTGGATTTTTACAAACAGTGAGGAATAAATTGTAACTCAAACAAAGACGAGATCGATCTGTGTCCAGCAAGTTTTTTTTTATTATTTGAAGGCAATTACAGCGTTCGAAGACTCCTGAGCTTGTTAGGCAAAAGAGCGAAGATATGAAGTTACATTCTTCCTTTATACATTTCTGACATCACATGAAATCTGTCAGGAAATTTATTTTCCTCCCTCATGTCATAGAAGATAAACACCTGTTGTAATAAGGCAAAGGAAGACAGCAGAGTCAGAGGTCCTCTTCTTCCCAGGCTCTTATTAGGAAGCAGAAGGATCCAAACTTGCCAATGAGGAGAACACTTCATCAGTCACAAAGAATAAATCAATCAAAAGAACATCTTCACTTTGCACATAAAGGAAAAAGGTGAAAAAGTTTAAACCAGTGAGGAAAAAATATACACTAATATAAAGTATATTAGTGTTCATACTACATTATTTTATATTTTTATTACACTCCTCCCTTGATTATAAAATCACACATTTTTGAAACACCATGATTATACATTGAAATATAAAATGAAAGTCACAACCCAGATGAAAAGAAATCAGCATTTGTTCACTTTGCAGTTTACAACAATTGCGCCAAAAGCACTGAGTTGAAGTTACACAATTTCATCATGATCAACATTATTATAATTTTCATCAGGTTCAGGGCCAGATAGGAGAGCTATGTAATCTCTTTGTGGTTCCAGGGCCAATAGGGTGGTTGAGAACATAAGGTTCACCATGAATTTAATAAGAGGAATAACACAACAGGACAGAATCATTAATATTACTAAAACAAACGACAAGAAAACACCAATTTTCTGAAGCCACGCTTTCCATTCAGTAAAATCAGTAAACCAGTTCCAGTTATTCCAGGAGGAGCTGCTTTTCAGGGGGTTCAGCTGCCCTGTCACCGTGACAGGTGTGCAGAAGGTGGAAACTCCTTTGTAGGAGCAAAGGTGGGGGGCTGAGCAGGCAGTGCAGGGGCTGAAAATAGGGCAGGAAATGCTGTGTCCAGGCCTTTTTGGCAGCAGCATCTGCACGGGCGTTTCCTGCAGACACAGAATCAGAAAGACGAGTGTGAGCTGTGCGTTTGATAACACCTAATTGTTTAGGTAATAAAATGGCTTTTAGTAAAGCATCAACTTATGGTGTGTTAAAGATGGGCTTACCGTCAGATTTCAGGAATTGTCTGTTTCCAAAGAGCACCAAAATCATGAACACCACCAAAAGCGTATCTGGAGTCAGTATAAATGTTAACAGATTTTCCAGAGGCTAATTTACAGGCCTCCGTCAGGGCCACAAGCTCTGCCGTTTGGGCAGAAATGTGAGATGGTAGAGGGCCTAAAATCAGTGTGTCAGTCAGAACAGACAGCAAAACCAACACAATTCAGCCCAACATCAGCCTGATGAACCGCTACTGGTATCAGTTGTAGCAGACTTTACAGAGTGTAGCAGTGCATGTGTGGTGCCTCACTTCCCTTTTCTGGCACACTGGCAGAAACGTCCTGCTGCCCGCATCCCGGGGTCCCCCCCCCCCCCCCCCCGTGTGTCCCCTTGTGGATGACCTTGGAGACCTCCTCTCTGTGGGTTTGGGCATTAATTTTTCCAGTGGCCCATTTGTCCACAGTTGTGACATGCCCCATCTTGTCTGTTGTTCCATGGGCGTCCTCTTCCACAGCCTCGACCCCTGAAGTGACCTCGGTCTCCTCCTCTGGTAGACTTGAGGGCCACAAGGCCCTCTGGCTTGGGCAGCCACAGCTGAGTATATGGTGAGAGTGGCTTTGTGCAGCTCTGATACTCATTTGGCTGCCTTCTTCTGCCCTTGATCTTGAATGACCTCTTGAGCATGTCTCTGACATGATGTTTCAGTTCGGCCAGACGGGTCTCATGTCCATGCCAATATAAGAACGACGTGTCTGAGAAGCAATGTCAGGCTTCAGACCGTCCATGATGTAACTGCAGAGGAGTCTTTTCCAGGGCCCTGCTGTGTTGCCCAGTTCTGAAGGGCAGTTGAGGCCAGAGTGTTTGTTGAATGCCTCTTTGAGACGGTGGAGAAAGTCGTCGACGGGTTCATGTGGCCTTTGTGTGACAGCTTTTAGAGCATTTGTCTCCATCTTTTGTGGAAATTAGTTTTTTATTTTTTCACACAGATGGGTCACGGCTGCTGCATACTGGCCATTGTCCAGATGGTCGTAGTTTAGGTTGATGAGCTGAAGTTGGGGGTCTGGAAGGGGATCCAGGTCGGCCATGTCACAGGCTTTTATCATTTTGGCCAGGACGCAACGAATTTCAACACCCGTGGGTCTTATTTCTCTGCAAAAGGCCTGAAACTCTGTGGCAAACTTGGCTCCATCCTCTTCTGGATTTGGCAAGAGATCTGTTGTATTTTTAACATCATCATGTGTCCATTGTCTGTTCACCCAAGCTGGCCCATCAGCTTCCATGACCTCAACCATAGAAGTAGTGAAGATTTTGTTCTTCTCTGCATGTTGGGTTGATGATGTCCCCAGATCCTGTTCTTTCTGTTTGCTGCGGGTCCAGGGCTGGAAAGAGGGGTCAGGCATGGGAGGAGCACTCACAGAGTATGCAGAGTGTGGCTCCCCATCCTGTGGGGGAGAACGGAAAACGGGTCAGCCAAGGCCAGTAGTTGGGTATGTAATGGAGCATACACAGACAGGGGTGAAGCATTACCTGTGTATGGAGGTGGGACAAGTGGAAGCTCATCTATTTTCATTTTCACAGATGCATTATCAGTTCAACCAGTAACTATTCCACTGACATCTTCCCCCCCTCCTAATTCACTTCCACTGACACAGACACTTCCTGTGTGTATTAATATCCCTCAGATGCACAGTTTTGACTTTCTTGCCTTTGCTTCTGGCTTTCCACTTCTTTTCAACACTTTCTGAAACTTTCAAAGATATGAAGTTACATTCTTCCTTTATACATTTCTGACATCACATGAAACCCGTCAGGAAATGTATTTTTTTGGTGTTAGTTGATAAAGATAAATACTGACCTCAGTCAGAAACCAACATTAAATAGCAGATAAGGTCAGCCTTGACATGACTGTGCTTGTGGAGCTAATTCCAGTGTTTTGGCTGATGAAGGTCATGTAAGACTGTTACAAGTCTTCTTAGGGTGCATTCACACCAGCGCTGTTTAGTCCGCTTTAATCGAACTCTAGCTCATTTTCCTAGAAAGTCCGGTTCGTTTGGGGAGGTGTGAACGCACCATCGAACTCTGTCACGGAACAAAAAGGCGAACTCTGGCCCGGGCTAAAACCTAGGTCTCGGTCCGGTAGAAGAGAACTCCAGCACGGTTCGAGTGCAGTGTGAATGTAAACAGAACAGGCCCCGCTCCACAAGCAAGAAGTGGAGTACAGCAAACAAACACGCATTTCTCTGACCTTATATGGAGCCGTCAGCTGCCTTGTGTGAAAAACAATTTTCTCCATGGTCTTCTGCCTCATCTTCTGCTCATGCTGAGTCCATTTTTGAAAAATTACAAAATATAACTCCTAAAACTGCTAAAACTTGATGCCACTCCGTTTTTGTTTTTATTTCCAGAAGAAGAAGAAGAAGAAGTGTCTTCAGAGGTTTTTGTGTTGTTTCTTTCAGTAGTTCTTGGTGCAGCGCCCCCACAGGCGAGCGGGGGAATAGGTTGGTTCAAGAGGTTGGCTCGACTGCACAGTGCAGTGTGAATGCAAACGCACCAGCTCAAATGTAAACAAAATGTTATGAATATTGGTCCCGAACCGAGTCTTTCGGACTATCAGGTGTGAAAACAAGCTTAAAAACATTTTTAATAAAACATATGGCATGTATTCAATATAGATTTAAGTTTTTGTTTTATTCATCCATCCATCCATTATCTTTTACTCGCTTCTTCCTTTTTGGGTCACGGGGGGGACACAGATGTCCATATCCAGCAGTCTCTGTGCGAGAGGCTGGGGACACCATAAACAGGTTTCCAGTCCATAACAGGGACACACATAGAGACAAACGAGACAAACAACCATTCACTCCCACTCACACCTACAGACAATTTAACTTTACCAGTTAGCCCAACATACTTATTCACAGCTTGTTTATTTAATGACTGTAATTTTTTGTCGAATGGGGTAAAATGAGTTGGGAAACATTTGTATATAAATTACTGGTAAAAATACACTATCCTTACTGCAGTGTCTGTAATCTTAGTCCTGACCAGATAATATTTGCATCTTGTATATCTGTTGCCTTTGTTTATCATATTTCCTTTGGTTTTGTTTTCTGAGTAAAGTTTAATTTTAATTAAGCTTTAAAGGCTGGTAAAACCTGCTTTATGTTACCTGACCTCTTATCGTTTGAAAGTGATTGTCAGCTTAACTACTTGTTAAATGTAGTTCACTGTAAAAGACAGGATGTATATAACCTTGTAGAGAAAATTTATTCATTAAATTAATAGTGTATATACTGTATATCCCAAATCTTTTTTTTTTACTAAGAACGTGAGCAAGAAAGTGACTAAAAGCTAAAAAGTCCCATTCTTAGTCAGTGTTTCAGAGCTACATAATTGAAACTTTGTATCAAAAGCACAAATAATTGTTAGAGGGAAAAAAGGAGTATTACCCCGATCAAATATAGCCACATACTTCTTGGTGCATATTGTTTACACAGCAGAGTACACCAGTAACATACTCCTTTAGTCTTCTTTTAGTGGAAAGAAGGGAGCAGGTTAAAGAGTAGGCAGTGCTTCCTAATGAATGATGTCCTAAATCTGTTGACGTTGAGTTTGTTTGACACTGCGTTGTCTAATCACAAAAAAAAACAACTTTTGAGATCCAGCTAAATGCTCAGAAAATAATCTTTTGTATCTGGTCCTGGAGTGAGGTTATCTTTAAGAACAAAGTTCCAAAAAGGACAGTTAAGATTCGCTTTCCTTTGTCTCTGTGGATTTCTCATCCGTCTCCTTTGACCTTAGATGTTTTGTGATTTACAAACTGATGTTGGTACCCTCGCTCTTCCGCACACTCCATCCAACTGAGCTCCTTTCTAGAAAACTCATCCAACAGATCCTCTTTTTTAAGTCCATCCTGATTGCTGTTGGTTTGACACCTTCTGCCTTCTCACTTATTGTTCAATTCTCACCCAGATTTGAAGTGGCACACAACTGAAATCTACAATTACAGTATTAGTGAGATTTTAAATGTTTTTTGTTTGTTTGTTTTATTCTGTAAAGATTCGTATTTGTGCTGAGCAGTGTGTGTCACTCCATGTCTTTTCCCAGGTGTATGGAGAATACAGAGCCAGCCTGGCCTTTGACCTTGTCAGCAGCAGACAGAAGAATGTGAGTGAAATAATTTCAAGACAATAACAGTTTCAGCCGAGCATCTGTCTTAGTTGTCTTTACCAGGAGAACATGCTCAGAAACTGTTTTGAACGAGTTTCTGGATCAATGTGTAATTTCAAGACACCAGTTCTTCTGTTTTATCTGTGTGTGTTTCATCTTTCTCTCATACTGAAACTGATTTGGTAACATTTGACTGTTCACTCCAGAGTTTTGAAGAAACTTAAAATGAGATGATACTCACTGTTACAATGTTCTTGTTCAATTATATGTCACAATGCATTAAATGTCAAACATATTATTCAGGCACAATAAAAAAAAATAAAAAGCTGACCAAAGTGCTTTACATTTTAGACAAATGAGGCAATAAATGAGAGTATAAGACAATAAAATATACAATTAATAATGGTAAAAGAACAATAAACAGAATAAAACACAACAATGCATCCATCCATTATCTTCCGCTTATTCTGAAGTTGGGTTGCAGGGGCAGCAGCTTGAGCAGGGAGGCTCAGGCATCTCTTTCCATAGCCACCTCTTCCAGCTCTTGCTTGGAGCGAGAGCCGACCGATGGTCTCTATCCAAGGTCTCACCGAACTCCTCCCACATCCGAGCTTTTTCCTCAGCAACAGCCATGGCTGCAGAGCGCTTGGTCCTCCGGTACTACTCAGCTGCCTCCAGAGTCCCACTGGCCAACAAGGCCCGATAGGACTCCTTCTTCAGCTTGACAGCCGCCCTAACCCGGGGTGTCCACCACAAAGTTCATGGATGGCCACCACGAGAAGCACTGACAACCTTACGGTCACAGCTCAAGCCAGCTACCTCAACAAGCGAGGTGTGGAACATGGCCCATTCGGACTCAATGTCCCTCACCTCAGCCAGGTGTTCCCAGCAAACCCTCACTACACGTTTGGGTCTACCGGGTCTTGTCTGGCATCCTCCCCTGCCATCTGATCCAACTCACTACCAGGTGATGATCAGTTGACAGCTCAGCTCCTCTCTTCACCCGAGTGTCCAAAATCAAATGGCCGCAAATCAGATGACACAACTATGAAGTCAATCATTGATCTATGACCTAGGGCGTCCTGGTGCCAAGTGCACTTATGGACACCCTTATGTTCAAACATGGTGCTCGTGATGGACAAACTGACTAGCACAGAAGTCCAACAACAGAGCACCACTCGGGTTCAGATCAGAGAGGCCTTTCCTCCCAATCACGCCCCTCCAGGTCACACTGTCATTATCCATGTGGGCATTGAAGTCCCCCAGCAGAATGAAGTAGTCCCCAGCTGGCACACCTTCCAGCACCCCTGCCAAGGACTCCATGAAGGCCGGTTACTCCGATCTGCAGTTTGGCATGTAGGCACAAACAACAGTCAGAGCCTGTCCCCCACCGGAAGGTGAAGGGAAGCCACCTAGGGGTGGGCAATATGGCTCAAATATAATATCGTGATGTTTCAGAGCATTCTGACGATAACGATAAATTTTGTGATATAACAAAAAAACAAAACAGAAATTAGGTATTCATTTGACAAAATTAACTTAACATGTTGCTTTGCAGTATTATATAAAAACTAAAAAAACAACAAGGGCTAATTTTACTGAAATTACTTTATTTAGTAAAGTATTCAGTCTCCAAGTATAAAAATAAAAAATACAAATAATCCTTCTGTTATTTAGATTGAAAAAGTCTGCACAAAATATAGATCAACAAAATCCACCACAAAAACCAAAATGCAGGTGAAGTTTCCCAAAATAACTAAATAAAATGAAGCTTAAGATCTGTTGAGCATAAATGTAACATACAACAAAATATTTGTTGCCTTAAAATTAGCTATAACTTCCAAAACTTGTGGCAAGGTGTCTTCTGCTGACCCTGAAGCTTGTGGTGTTTCAGCTTCCTCTATTCCTGCCGGAATGATTCATTTCTCTGATGCTCTGTCTTTGATCACCTGACTCTTTTCTTGGTCCATGGACTGACTGTGAACTCAAGAGTCACAGCTGAGCTGCACGTGTTTGTACTGGCAGTTTAGAGCGGGGGAGACGCAGACGAGCTGCGCCCGCACTGGCAGCCCAGAGCGGGGTGGGTGGGGGGAGAGAAAAAAGCCGAGCTGCACTGGTGGGGGGAGGGAGAGACAATTGAGCTGTCATTGTCTGTACCCGCATTTTAGAGCTGGGTGGAGAGACAGCTGAGCCGTGCGTTGTTTTTAACTTTTTAGCTAGCTAGTATTGCGCGCAACTAATTAGCGTTGCGCCTGTACCAACAGGTGGAGGTGGGGTGCGCAGTTCAGTTCGGTTGTTCGGCGCGCTTGGTTCTGTTAACGGGGCACCCCGCTTGTATAATGGTAGGGGAAACATTGACATATTACGTCATGAAATTAGCATAACATGATATAATTTAGTTTCCCGGGCAAGCTTTTTTTTTTACTTATTTACGTATTATTGTGAACAATATGATATTGCCCAGTCCTAAAGCCACCCTCTCATCTACCGGGAAAACTCCAAAACACAGGCACCAAGTCGGGGAGCTACAAGTAGACCCACACCAGCTCAATGCCTCTCACCATGCGCAACTCCAGAGTGGAGTAAGGTCCAGCCCCTCTCAAGGAGATCGACTCCAGAGCCCATGCTGTGCGTCAAGGTGAGCCCAACTATATCTAGTTGGTACCTCTCAACCTCGCGCACAAGTTCAGGCTGCCAGAGAGGTTACGTTCCATGTCCCAAGAGCTAGCTTTGGTAAGCCAGGGTCAGAGCGCCATGGTCCCCGCCTTTGGCCAATGCCCATAGCATTCCGACTTTTACGGCCCTTCCTGCAGGTGGTGGGTCCACAGGAAGGCAAACCCATGCTGCTCCTTCGGGCTGAGCCCGACCGGGCCCCATGGATAGAGACCCGGTCACCAGGCGCTCGCCAACAAGCCCCTCCCCCAGGCTTGGCTCCAGGGTGGGGCCCTGATAACCCATGTCCGGGCAAGGGACACCGAGTTCCTTGTTTTGTCCATAAAAATCTTCTGAATCGCTCTTTGTCTGGCCTGTCACCTAGGACCAATCTGCCTTGGGAGACCCTACCAGAGGCAGTTATAATTGCCCTCGACAGCATAGCTCCTAGAATCATTCAGGCACACAAACTCCTCCACCACGATAAGGTGGCATTTCAAGGAGGAAAACACAACATTTTATTTTATTTTAATTAACCTGTATTTATACCGGTTAGTCTCACTGAGTCATGAGGACTCATTTTCAAGAGAGACCTGTATTAGACAGACAACATTTAAAGTACAGACAACAATACACAACAACAAAAAGCAGTTGAAATAATAGTATTCTAAAAACACTGTTACTGTTAGCAGCATGGTCCTGTTAGCAGCATGGTCCTGTTAGCAGCGTGGTCCTGTTAGTAGAGGGGTCCTGTTAGCAGCATGGTCCTGTTAGCGGTATGGTCCTGTTAGTAGCATGGTCCTGTTAGCAAAGGGTTCCTGTTAGCAGCATGGTCCTGTTAGCGGCATGGTCCTGTTAGCGGCATGGTACTGTTAGCGGCGTGGTCCTGTTAGCGGCATGGTACTGTTAGCGGTGTGATCCTGTTAGCAGAGAGGTCCTGTTAGCAGCATGATCCTGTTAGCATAGGGGTCCTGTTAGCGGTGTGGGCCTGTTAGCTGCATGGTCCTGTTAGCAGAAGGGTCCTGTTAGCGACATGGTACTGTTAGCAGCATGGTACTGTTAGCGGCGTGGTCCACTTAGCGGCGTGGTCCACTTAGCGGCGTGGTCCACTTAGCGGCGCGGTCCACTTAGCGGCGCGGTCCTGTTAGCGGCGCGGTCCTGTTAGCGGCGCGGTCCTGTTAG